TCATGGCCACTCGTCCCATCACCTCCTGGCAAATAGAAGGGGAAGATATGGAGGCAGTGACAGATTTTACTTTCTTGGGCTCCATGATCACTGCAGATGGTGGCAGCATCCACGAAATTAAAAGACGCCTGCTTCTGGGGAGGAAAGTGATGACAAACCTAGACAGCATCTTCAAAAGCAGAGACATCACCTTGCCAACAAAAGTCCGAATAGTCAAAGCTATGGTTTTTCCAGTAGCAATGTATGGAAAGAGAGCTGGAGCATAAAGAAAGCTGACGGCCAAAGAATTGACGCTTTTGAGTTGTGGTGCTGGAGGAGGCTCTTGAGAGTCCTCTGGACTGCAAGGAGAACAAACCTATCCATTCTGAATTAAATCAACCCTGAGTGCTCCCTGGAAGGACAGATCCTGAAGCTGAGGCTCCAGTACTTTGGCCATCTCATGAGAAGAGAAAACTCCCTGGAAAATACCTTGATGTTGGGAAAGGGTGAAGGCAAGAGGAGAAAGGGACAGTAAGAGGACAGGATGGTTGGACAGGGTCATCGAAGCGCCCAACATGAATTTGACCAAACTCCGGGAGGCAGTGGAAGACAGGAGGGCCTGGCGTGCTCTGGTCCATGGGGTCACGAAGAATCGGACACGACTAAGCAACAACAATAACACACATTGATTCTCCATCTGAATTATTCCGAAACTCCCATTTTAAAAAAGCCTCCCCCCCGCCCTTACCCTCCAGCCAGTCTGATCAGTCATGCTGCTTGCTTTTCCTCGGCCCGCTCCAGTGGGGGGCCCATAAACACCGGGTGCTTGTTGACGGCGGACCTTTATGACGGGCGTCCCAACCGACCGTCCTCCAGAGAGGCACCTGAGCAACGCGGGGGGCAGTTATCAGGGAGGCGCGGCCAAAGAGGTAGAGTCTAGAGGTTCGCGGACAAGAATCACGGTTCCCGCTTCCGATGGCAGCGCCTCGGCCGTGTCGGAGTGGCAGAACCGTTTGCGGGGGGAAATCATAGGGGCAAAGCAAGCTAGTTAGAAAGTGGCACCACAACGTCCGGTACCTGTTTGGCAAATAAAATCTTTTTTTCTCTCTCCCTGTGCAGAGAGATTAGTGGTTTAAAAAAATGGTTTAGGAATAGATAATATAAGGTGTAGAACTTTGCACTCATCCCTGTTAAATTTAATTGTTGTTTTCAGCCCAGTGCTCAAGCCTGTCTTTCAGTTGTTTCTACTGTGTTATTATGATTTGTTTGCTGCCCAGAGTAGTGGCTCTGCCACTAGCTGGGCTGAATGAATGAATGAATGAATAAATATATTTAATTTTTTTAAGAAGACAGAAGTCCCTATGGCAGCTTAAAGACTACAGGTATTATATTTTAATGTGAGCTTTTGTGGACAAGTCCACTTGTTCAGGGAGACTTACTCCCAGGGGAGAGAGTGAGCCTGCAAGAACACTGTGTTATGCCTTCTTGCTTTCCCTTGGCACACAATGCTTGATTGTTAAAGCCTCTTTGGAATCTGGTGAAGGATCCTATGATCATTCACCATGAACCCAGCTTGCTAGAAATGGGAATTGCGATTGCCAAAGTCTGGTATACGCTGACAAAGAGCTGGGGTCATCTGGTGGCCCTTTGTAGTCAATGTGGTTGAACTTCCCAGTGCTGAAGCATATAGAAATATATAGTGTGCTCCTTTCACTTTTCAGACACCAGAGAAGGAATGATCACCTTTGGTATGGGTGTGGAAACCAAAGGACAATGAAGAACTGTTTTCTACGAAAACATTTGGCACCTGAGCAACGCTGGTATTATATTTTAATGTGAAGCAGTCGTAAGATCGAATCCATGCGCCGGAGCGCCCGTTGCTTGTCCCAGCTCCCGCCAACCTAGCGGTTCGAAAGCATGCAAATGCAAGTAGGTAAATAGGTACCACCATGGCGGGAAGGTCACGGCGTTCTGTGTCTAGTTGCGCTGACCACAGGACCACAGAAGATTGTCTTTGGACAAACTCTAGCTCTATGGGTTGGAAACGCGGATGAGCACCTAGTCGGACACGACTGGACTACATGTCAAGGGGAATCTTTACCTTTTAATACATAAACTTGCCATATAAATTGAAACTCTGAGATGCTTTCCGTTAAAGACTAAATATGTTCCCCAGAAGGCTTCTGTCAACTTTATCACACTATGTGCTTTTCAAACAATATTTGAAAAATACTGCTTTGGATGATGGTATGCCATGGTGCAAACAAAGCTTATAAACAAAATAAGGCAAAAATACTGTTGCTTTAACTGTAATAAGAGGATAAAGTAAGCTGGCTGGATAGCTAAGTGGTTCAGGTAAGAGGCCGATTCCCCCACTGTGTGCCTCCTGGGAGAAGAGCCAGCCTGGGTGGCCTTGGGCAAGCTGCACAGTCCCAGGGCGCCCCCTAGAGGAAGGGGATGGGAAACCACTTCTGAGCATTCTCTACTTTTTAGGGAAAACCCTAAAAAGGGGCACCATAAATTAGAACTGACTTGATGGCCCAAGATGGTGATTGATGATGACGAGGATGAATGTAACTAGAAAACGTTCATCCACAAATTTTGAAACAGGAAACTCCCATCACTGTATGAATGAAACTTCAAAGCACAGAGGATGTATACTGGGATGGAGTGAAGGGAAAAAGAAAGATCAGTGTAAGAAAATAAACATGAGAAAAGAAGTGAGAGAGGGAGAACGAACTGGATTAGGGTGGTGGAATCTTTAGCAGCAGCTCAGCTCTTCAAGGCCAACCTTGTTAATTCCCTTCAAGTGGGCAAGGGATGGGGACAAACTCTTTCTCACACATACAGACAGAACTCAAAACCTTTATTGTGTTTTAAAGAATACAAGAATGCTTAGCGAGAGGGCTGTAAACTGAAAAGTTTCTTGACAATTTCGACTATGAAGAAACTGCCTCGTAGAGCGGAGGATCCAGAATGGGTGTTTGCAGGCCACATCTAATCGGACGCCTAGGAATTCAACACAGGAGTAACCTGAACAGATGGCTATCTAGGGTCCTGCCTGAAAACCTCCAGCCAAGGAGATCCCTCCTGCAGGCCCTCAGTAATTGTTTGCAGTAAGAAATGGCTCCTACCGAAAAATGTTTCCTAAGATGTTCAAAAAAATCTACAACTCTACGCATGCATGGAAAACTACTTATTTTACATCACCGAGCTATACCCAAGTTTAAGATGTCTTGCTTCAGACACTTCCTGTCAGACAGCTGAGCGCTGGTGAAGCTAGGCTGGAAATTGTCCTCATATGTGCCAGCTTTTTATGGACAAGAGGCTACCTTTAATTTTATTGGTCCCGAGAAGCATTCAGTTATGTGAACGTTCATTCCCATTCCCTGGTGCCCTGAACAATCAAGAGCTACAACTCGGAGCCAGGTTTGCTACCCGAATGAAAGCCAGATCTGTTAGGGTGAACTATGAGCAAGTTCAAAATCCAATCACTTACAGCACAGTAAGTTTCAAAAGTCCCAACACCGCAGAAGGCAATAGTCCTTCACTAGCAAGTAAAGCAGACAAGCTAATTCTTACAAGAATCTTCATCCTCTGAGTATTTCTTCCAGTGTGGAATTTATTTCCTGCCAAGAATTGGTTCACATGCTGACATTTTATTTCTTGAGATCATCTCTATGTCCTTTTTGCCATGCAATAGGAATCTTTATGCTGGAAGAAATATAAGCAACGGCTGTTTCCCCCAACCCACCCCCTTTGACCTTATCACTACACCAGGAAAAAAATGAAAACACCAAAGTGTCACGACCTCACGGGGAGTCTAAGTGCGAAAAAGTGGCTTCCGTTGCAGGCCAGTTAAGAATATTTTGTCGCTACCATAGTTGTAAATCAAAGCCCCAAAGAGTTTGCTGACAGTGTAAGGCAGACTGCGTGGGAAATTGTGACCCTCTCCTCCCCCAGGGAAGAGAAGGGATGGAGAGCTGCCAAACCTCCGGCCCCTGCTGCCTGAGGTGGGCGGTCTCACTCTGCACCAAAGCAGGATGAGCCCTGGGTGCAGAGTGCCCAGGTGTCCGACTGAATGACCCAAGGCCCTGTTCCTTGAGCAGGAGAACAGTTTTGCTCGTTCTGCATCTCAGGCTCACCACAGTCTTCGTTGGTGTATGCCCGCAGCTTCGTTTTCTCCCAAAAGCAGAAACCACTGAACCCAGAAGGCCACTGTTAAATGCAGATCCAGAATAAAACATTTTGGTAGAATTAGGTTTTCTGTTTCCTCCCCCCCTTAAAGAATCTCCCTTGCCTCTTTCTTTTTTTTAAAAGAAATTCTTCAAATGTCAGAGACGCCGCAGCATTATTTTATTGTCTCTCAGCCAGGGGATCCAGGATTTAAGGTTTTCTTCCTTTCTTGCGAAGAGACTGGCCTTCTCCTGAAAATGCAATGAAGCGGCTTCCGGAATCATCCTGGGAGGGAGGAGGAGGAGAGGAGAGAGGAGGAGGACCTTGAATTAATTTTATTATTTTGACAACTATATGGAGGCTGAGAGAGAGAGAGAGATCTGTTCAAACACAATTCATATTTGAAATTTTTGGCTTGACATCCAGTCCTATGCAAAGTAACTTTTAAAATATTTTATGGGACATTTTTCTACTCCAAGATAAGTTCCAATGTAACTTGGGAGTAGGAAAAATGTCCCCAGAGCAAATGAATGGCGTCAGAAGAGATGCATTTGTGTTTTTTTAAATAAAAACCACAATATCTCAACACGGTGGGAGCAAATAAGGCACACTGGTATGCATGATAACTAAACAGATACTGCCCCCTCGCCCGCAATGTTTCTTGATCATCTTAGGAACTTTTTCTGAACCAAAAATTCTATATGGCACTTAAGTGTCCCTCCCCAGATCAAAATGTTTCACCCCAACACTGCTGAAGAAAAAACACCACAGTGGCAAAAATCAACAGATTTCTGAGGAATCGTTGCTCCAGCACTCTGGCATGCGCAGAAAGAAAAAAGCTACATAATTTATAATAATCCACAGAGTGATTTATTTTCCATCTCTATGAAGGCAATGGAAATACCGTATTTTTCGCTCCATAAGACGCACAGACTTTCCACACCCCTGTTTTGTGGGGAAAAAGTGAGTCTTATGGTGCAAAAAATACAGTAATTAGCAACTGGTAAAATCTTTGTTTGAATATGTAATATGACTGTGCAGTTCAGGAGGACTGCATATCCGTCAGTGTTTTGAGCCACTGGAAAGAACGTTGGTTTCCTACAAGGAAATCTATACAGAAATGATCTAGGAACAACTGAACTTACCTCCTCTGTTTTTTTGACCAGTGGCCGTGAATTCCTGATGAATGTGATCTTGCCAATTTTGAAGTCATAGTTAGGAATCCCTCTGCAGAATGGAAAATTTTTATTTAAAATATTTTTATTTATATATAACATCCCTAAACCACCTTTTATTCATGTGGCATTGGGGTAGTGTCCAAAAATAATCAAAATAAAATAACTTAAGCCATCAAAGTTCAAAATAGCAGATAAAGACAATGAAAAGCAAAAATAAACAAACAAAACAACTCAGAAGATCGAATCTTAAAATGCTCTTCCAAATGAAGAGGTTTTAACCTGGCACCCAAAATGACTACAGTTGAAATGTCAGGAGAGCCTCCGTGGGGACGGCATACCACAACTCCCTCCAACTGTTCTGAGAAGGAATCCTATCCTTGCAAAGTGGCTCACAGTTTGTGTAAAACTAGAAGACCATCAGAGGACTGGGGTCGCTATGAACAAAGGAGCCCAGACACCATAAACGTATTAAGCTCCAAGTCCAGACTGATAGGACAAGCATCTCTTTAAGCCAGTGGTCCCCAACCTTGGGCCTCCAGATGTTCTTGAACCACAACTCCCAGAAACCTCCACCACCACCTCTGCTGGCCAAGATTTCTGGGAGCTGAAGTCCAAGAACATCTGGAGGCCCAAGGTTGGGGACCACTGCTTTAAGCTGCCTTCCCAAACATGGGGTGACCCAAATGTGCTGGACTAGAACTCCAAGCACAAGAAAGTGGCATCAATAGGTTTGAAGAAGAACAAGTGTTAATGGAAGGAGGGGGGAAAAAGCCCTAAAGGAAGGGACTCTTCCCCACCCAGTCCAGGGAGGACTCAAGAGGCTCAGTGGGCCCAGACAACTGACTGATTTGAAGGGCATGTAGAGAGCTAGTGGGAAAGAGACCTGCAATGGAATCTCCTGAGAGCAAAGGGCTGGCTGGGGGACACCCTGGACAGAAACACTCCACACCACAAGCACTTCTTAAGCTAGACAGAGCTAAAGCAATGAGGTTTCATAACGCTTACACGACCTCCTTAAGGCACCCAGTTTACCAGCCTCACACTGAGCAGAACAGTTATTCACACTGACTGATTGTGGATCAACTATTATAAGCATCGTTTCACAGGATATTTCTAGAGGTATCCTACGGAATTGTTGCTGAAGCAAGTTAACTCTAGCGAGTTGGAGACTTTTCACGGTGAAACAACCCAAGTGGACCTTGTTAGGAGGGCCTGCCGCATTTTCCCCAGGCAAACCAACCTTCGAATGTCTCCTGGTTTAATTGGAGAAGGACTTGGTTCAACGCCTTTCTTTTTCCCATCCAGCCTGTTCCCAGATCCTGAAAATGCCTACAGAAGGAAAGAGACAGACAGAAAGAGGATCATTCCTTCATAACCAACAAGGTGTTGCTTCTGTGAATTATTACAGAAGAGTAACTGAGAGTGTCCAATGGCGATTAAATATTTACTAATGAATGATTAGGTTGAAAAAGTGAGAACTGGGTAGGGTAAGGAGTGGAATAATGTACAGTAAGGCACTCAACTAGAACACATAGAACACCTCACAGTATCACCTTTTGTTGTGACCCCATTTTCAACTATTTTCAAGGCACATCCCCTTAGCATTAAATCAAATAGGCTGTAAATCTTTAATGGTTTTTATTAGCTAAATAACGAGACTTACACGGAATCCCAGGTCACTAACGTAGCCGCTGTGGTCTGCTTCTACATCCTGCAAAGCAAAGGGGAAAATAAATTAATTCATTTTAAAACATCTCTACAATACAACAGATAGTAGACAATAAGATGGTTCCTTGTACAAAGTAACTTTCCTAAGGCATGCTTACACCGGGGCAAAGAATCTTTGATCCCCCCTATGCTTGGATGGGCGTTTACACCCTTCCTTGTTTATTTCAAAAGATTTGAAGGAAGAGGGGAATGCAGAACAAGACAAGAATATATAAAAGGCAACTTACTGTGGGCTCTTCATGCTGTGCCTGTCTTTCTGGTTCTTTGTAACCCAAAGGTGCATCAAAATCTACCTGTGTCAAGTCAAAACAAAATCTACAATCAGCTAACTTACGTAGGTAAATTACTTCTTTAATATGTGCAATTTAGATACATAGCTATTTCCAAGACACTTTAAGTTTGCCAGAAGAAAAATTTAAGCAGATAAGGAGAAAACAGAGAGCAACTCACATTCATGTCACACTCGATGATGGACACAGCTTTGTCAGGTTTTGTCTCCATCACTCGCAGCTCGTAAATCTAAAATTAAATTAAATTCAAAATTGGCATCTTCTCCGAGTTAACATTCAGGACTATGCCTTCACATGCTAATAACTGCTTTGATAACTGCCTCCAGTTAAAATTATTTGATTAACATTAGGTAAAGGTTACCCTTGACATTTAGTCAGTCGTGTTTGACTCTAGGGGGCGGTGCTCATCCCCGTTTCCAAGCCATAAAGCCAGCGTTTGTCCGAAGATAGTTTCCATTGTCACATGGCCAGTCCGACTTAGACCCGGAACGCTGTTTACCTTTCCACCGAGATGGTACCTATTTATCTACTCGCATATACATGCTGTTGAACTGCTAGGTTGGCAAGGAGCTGGGACAAAGCGATGGGAGCTCACTCCGTCGCGTGGATTCGATCTTATGACTGCTGGTCTTCTGACCCTGTAGCATACAAAGGCTTCTACGGTTTAGCCCGCAGCGCCACCAGCGTCCCCTGATTAACATTAGCAGCATCAATAATCCAAAATCTCCTTCCACCGAGAGACCACCCTGCTTGGAATATGAACTGTACTGTTATAAAACTCCTTTTAGCATGCATGATAAACAGAAGCAGGAGAGATGATGATTTTTTTCCACTGGTTCTTTCAGGAGCAATTTGCTCTGCTTTTAAACGGCAGGCATTACCTTTTCATTGTAGTTGATGGCAATAACATCTCCGGTGGTTAGACAAGCAAAATTCCTCAGGGCGTTTTCTAATCTTTAAAGGATGTTAAGTTCAAAGCAGAAATTGAAATTATGGCCCAAAGGTGGTGCATATGGGTTGGGGGTCACCTACGCAGTTCCACTGGGCTCCACAATAGTCACCTGACAGCAGCCGTTCTATCAGACCTTGAGTAACCCAGGTGGACTGCAATTCCCAGAAATCCTGGCCAACACAGACAATGGTGAAGGCTTCTGGGAATTGCAGTCCAAGGACACCTGGGTTACCCAGCTTTGGGAACCACTGGACTACAGCCAAGGTGAGAAACAGAGCTTGTTCTATTACTTCTAAGAAGAATTCTGCTGGATTGGACATAAGGGGTAACTGTTCAGACTTGTTCTCTTGGTTACTAACCAGGGGCCTAGGGGTAGCCCGCAAGCTTAACCCGAGTGCAACACACACCTTCTGCTCACATTCCCCAGCAATGGGTACTGAGAAGCAGACAAGACTTTGACAATGCACAAAATAGGAAGCTGTCATTTACTAGCCAGTAACCAGCTGAGCAGATTTGGCTTTTTCTCTTCCTAAATTGTTTCTCTTCAAGCTTGTCTTTTTAGAACATTTTAAGTATAAGAACTGGCATCTGAAAGTGCTTGTTTTTCCCCTTCCTCCCTCTTCCTTTTGTGCGGTGTTTTTCACATTAGAAGTCTGTTTGGGCTCAGGCTCCTTGCTTGTTGCCAATGGCTAGCTAAAAGGCTCTGAGAGCTTATTTTGGCTGGGCAGCACACATGAAGTGTTCAATGAGCAAGGAAACACAGAAACACCACATATCATGCAGTTGAAAATATGCCTTAGAAATTGTCACACCGTTACTTTAGAGCATTTCCTTAAAGACTGACCCAATGCCCATTTACAACTCTGTTACTGATGTTTGGAAAAGAGGTAAAAAAAACAAAACACACACTGGTCTGTGTTCCAACGGCTGTCGGCAAGTATATGGACATTGTCTGTGAGCCAGCCTTTGAACAAATTGTGGGGGCTCTCAGAGGGCAGAACAAAGAAAGGCAAGCCCACTTTGTTGAACAATGTAAACAAGATTTGAAGAAGCAAATCTTCAGCTTCCTTCTCTACCGTGGGAAGGGAAGCAAGCCTTCTTTTGCTCCTGCAGAGGTACAGTGAAAAGGATACACAGCTTTGGGGTTGGTGATATCGAGGAAGTCCGGACTCTGGGGCTGGAACTTTGAGTACGTCGCTACCTGAAGGTTTACGCTCTCGACTTGCACCAGGCCCCCTTCCTCTAGAAGCAAGTTTTGCATCATCTGCAAAATAGATGCAACAGCATGCAATGCAGTACTCAGGACCAAACTAGAGAGAATGTTAAATGCAGGGTTAACAGGTTGCTTTTTTTTTTTAAAAAAGAGAGAGAATCAGCTGTGGGGACATACATATTGGGATCCCAGTAGCCATGAAGAAGGCATTTCATTCTTCTCTCTCCTGCTGTAGTCCAGAGGAAAACCCAGCCAGAGGTTTCCCAGAGGAAAGTGCTGTTTTGCTTCCGGAATAAATGAGCAAGTCTGGAAACCACTCCCTAGAAATGCCCTCCTTCCCATGCAGACCCAATCCCAGAGGCAAGGTGGAGGGAAATGGATGGACAATGGAAGTTTGGGGATGCAGAACAAGAAGTTTGACTTAAGCTCTGCTTCATTCAAATGCCACTGAGGCTCAGTGAAAGGACTAGGAAAAGACACTCGGGGCCGGGGTAGATAAAAATCAATGATTTTTTAAAAATCAAACTGATTTCAATCATGATTGAAATGTTAAAAATAATTTTTATTTAAATCATTAAAAACTGATTTTTTTTTTAAAAAATTGATTTTTAAAAACCATTGATGTTTATCCATTCTGGCCCTGAGTGCCTTTTCTTAGTCCCAACTTTCATCTGCAAAATAGATGCAACAGCATGCAATGCAGTACTCAGGACCAAACTAGAGAGAATGTTAAATGCAGGGTTAACAGGTTGCTTTTTTTAAAAAAAATGGCCTTGTTTGATAGGACTCCTGGGAGATGAAGTCCAAAATATCTGAAGGGTTGAAGGATGAGAACCGCTGGCCTAGGATGCTACTGCATTACTAAAGCCTTCAATGATTTTTTAAAAATCAAACTGATTTCAATCATGATTGAAATGTTAAAAATAATTTTTATTTAAATCATTAAAAACTGATTTTTTTTTTAAAAAATTGATTTTTAAAAACCATTGATGTTTATCCATTCTGGCCCTGAGTGCCTTTTCTTAGTCCCAACTTGCTCAGCACCATAAACGCATAGAGAAATTTGTTTCAAGGGATTCAGCAGATGTGGTCCAGAACAGCGGTACTCAAACTGTGACCTTTGGATAACATTTCCTGACCAATGGCCATGTGTGACAGGACACCTGGGAGATGGAAGTCCAAAATATCTGAAGGGTTGAAGGATTTGAACTGCTGCTACTGCATTACTAAAGCTGAGCCGATACAGATACGGTCAGCAGTCTGGACTTAAGGCTCATGAAAGATCTGGAGACTAGATGGATACACAGCTTGAATTCTAAAAGCTAACCCCTTTTAGATACCCTTTGCAGATCTTTCGGTTGTGAACCCCAGTGTTTACTCACCCAATGTGGAAGGTAACAAATCCCCTCGTCAGCCACAAACTCGAGCACACCGCAGTGAGTCATACGGTCTGAATTTTTATTTGTTAGTTTAAACAACATAGGATAGGTGATATTAAGTCGGCCTAGTAAGAACAGAGGAGAGAAAACATGGTGTGTTACAGGAAATGGAATATTCCTGATCGTGGGTGAGCTACAGAACATTTATTTGCTTCGGAGTAAGCCATACTAGTCTCAGTGGGACTTGCTTCCAAGTAAACCAATAAATTATTATTATTATTATTATTATTCCTGATCTTGGGTGAGCTACAGAACATTTATTTGCTTGGGAGTAAGCCGTACTAGCCTCAGTGGGACTTGCTTCGAAGTAAACCGGCACAAGACCAGGTTAAGGAAACCACAGTACCCTATAAAAAACATCAATGCTGGAAATTTCATGTATTTATTTAGCATATGTTTCTTTAAAAAGACTCTCTAAAGAACACCCCCCCATCTTGAGATGGTTCTCAAGAACTGATACAAATCCCAGACAAAATAAAGCACTTAACTTATTAAAAGTGCCACCCATTAATAAAAACATGCAAAAATGAAGACATGCTGTTCAGTGAAAACAATACTGCAATAAATATTTGTACAATGGGAGCTAACAACTTTTCAGTTCAGCAGCCCACAACAAAATCCCTCTAGAAAAAAACCTAAGAAAATATATTCTAAGAAATCTTTAAAGGCCTGTAACGATGAGGTCTAAGGCATGGCAGCAGGCATCATCCTCCATAGGCTGCGGCCTTCCAGGTGATCAAGTCCAGACCCTATTACCCTCACCCAAATGGTTAATGGTGAGGGATAACAGGAGCTGGTGTAACACAACATCAGGAAACAGAGAGATTCCCACCTCAAACTTTCTTTTTTAAGGTCCGTTTGGCTTCCGCATACATCCTGTCTGGTTTTAGCTCTCTAGATATTTTGGAGCAGAGCTTCCAGAAGCTCCAGACAACATGGCTAGTTGAGTATGGAAGCTGGAATCCCAAAACTATGGAAGGACAATGTGCCCTCTGCCTTTTCTAGCACTACTTTCAATACAACATCCATTCAATCTTCTTATTTCTTCACCTAACAACATGCACAGGAAGAAAATATCCAGTCCAAGGCTACACATCACGAGTGGACTGAAGAGAAATTACTCACTGAGTTGATCCAAAGCAGAGGGTGGCATAATTACTGCAGGAAGAAAGAAAAAAAACAAGGAAGTTACAGTACGGAAAACAGAAGGACAATGAGAACAGAAAGCAACTGTAATCCTAACGGCACAGAAGCCAGATTCCTGTGGAAGTCACCAAGTGCAGAAGAGCTGTTATGCCAGCCGACTGTGCTATTTGGGGAGCTATTCAGTGCACGCTAGGAATGCGCTGGTGGTACAATCAACCACACCATGGAGAACCTTCAAAAACCAGTTCTGCAATTCCCATTATGGGGGGGGGGAACCAACTAGGTTCTAGGAAGATTTTTTTTAAGTATCTTAGAACCAAAAAGCAGATACATCTCAAAAGCCTATCTCTTTCTCTTAGATGCAATATGTTGTGAACTGTACCTGGTGCCAATTCTTTTTTAATGTGTCCTCCTAGGTGTTAACAAATTACTGTTCCCATCCTCTCTCACCACTGGCCAAGGTTGCAAGGAAAGATAGGGGCTGAAATCCCCCAACATGAGGAGTGCCACAAGAATCTGCGCCAACAACATGAGCCAGAGGCAGGGAAACACACGGTGCAAACTAGGTCAAGGCAAAATGGATGCTGGTCAACATGCTACGAGGAAGGATGTAGCAGGAACATGGCTCAGCCAAGGGTTGGTCTGAAGAGTTCTTGTGACATGACATGGAAACAGGCTCCACCTTTGCACGCCCCAACACCAGAAAAGGGAAAAAGCACACAGTCAAAGAAAGACAACATTCACACTGCGTAAATGGGTGTCAGGGATTGTGGCTTTGAGCATGCAATTTCTGGAGACTATTTCCCTCCCCCCAAAACAAGGTAACCAAAAAGTCACTACTAGTTTTTTTTTGTGGGGGGATTTCAGGCTAAAACTAGTTGGAGAGGGACAAAAAACCAGCCATAGCAAGAATGCCCCCAAAAGTTGCAGGTAGGCTTAATCTGCTATTTTCCTGGGGAAAAAACTGGGCAGTCAGAAGACACAGAGGAAACACAGGCCGCCCATAGGGAAACTCTGCTCAGCACTGTCACAGGTGAGGAGAGGGTATTTCCAGGCTGAGGACACCAACTGCTACTTATCAAAAGTTCTTATGCAATGTCCGTTACGTGAAACAATCTACTAACCAAGATCAGGCAACATACAGGATGTATGTTGCTATTGCCTGCTGTCTTTCCCAAAACATTTTGCTGATCACCACCCTAGTCAATGACCCTTACTGGTTTTAACAATATGCTTTGTTTTCTGTTTATCTCTGTTCTTTAGTTTCACCACTTCCTTTTATCATAACTTGTGGATTTCAATTTACAGTATTTGCTACTGTTTTGGAATTTGGGGAATGGATTCTTTACAAATGCTATAATAAACCAATAACCCACAGCCTCCTCCTTAACATATATTTTATTTTAAGTTGTGAGCCAGAAAAAGACCAGGAGCATTAGGGAAACACAGAAGAATTATAATCATTTGGACTACTGGGTAAAATGCCCTCTACCATGTTTCCCTGAAAATAAAACAGTGTCTTATATTAATTTTTGCTTAAAAACATATTAGGGCTTATTTTAAGGGGATGTTCCATTTTTTAATGTACAGAATGTAGACCGATTTTAATGTGATCACGTCATCGTCTGGTTGCTGCACAAGGGTGGAGGTTGGGGTTTCACTTAAATAGCGCTTATTTTTGGGGTAGGTCTTATATTATGAACATCTTGAAAAAATCATACTAGGGCTTATTTTCAGGTTAGGTCTTATTTTTTTTGGGAAACAGGGTAGGAAGGAGAAAACTTGCATGATAAAAATCTCATCTCCAATCACCCAGAGATAGGATTTCAAACACATCTGCAGTCAGCTTTCCACCCATCATCTGAATTGGGCTTTGCAAGTTGTGTTTACTGTATTCAGATATACACCAGCAACCTGAACGCTGGCAACTGTGAATCTGGAATAAACTCTCAATTACCAGGCAGGTGATTTACCTCACTCACTCGTTTCCCTCCCTTTTTCATGATTTATACACATTTCCTTTCCAGTTTTTTCTTCAGCTTAACCCCACTTCAAAAATTTATTCTAAAAAGTCGTCATAGAATTGCTTTGCACTCCCTCCCCAAACTACCAACAACATTGCTTTCAAGAGAAGATTAAAAGGAAAAAAAACAGTACATACTCTTCCCGCCTTTTTCCACATCTGACCTGTCATTAGGGCCAGCAAGCATGGACACCGAGAAGCAGCGGTATTGCGTGGAGAAGCGGTTCTGAAAGACTCGTGGGATAGGATGATCGAACATGTTGAAGGAAAACTGGAGAGAAGAAGAAAAAAATAAAGGAATGCATTAGAAGTGGATACTCCATACACACCTTACTCAGGTTCAAACTCGACATATTGAACAAGACAGAGAATATTTCATCCTCCAGATGTACCAGATGGCAGGTCCCACAATCATTATCGTTATTATCATTATATTATTATCCTTATATAATTATCATTTGCCTTGCTTGCTAGATTTTCTGTGAATCGGCATCCATAAAATCAAGAGCCTGAACGGTTCTCCACCCTGAAGTCGCAAGTCCCCTTACACACAATTAAAAGCAAAGCATGCTCAAAACATTCTCTGGGCAGTTCAGAATTTAATTATGAATTTCAGGATTTAATTATGAGGTTCCAAATTTGATTATGCAGCCTACCCAGGGAGCTGGGTACTCAATTTGCTGACCCTGGAAGAATGGAAGGCTGAGTGAACCCTGAACTTCCATCTTCTTAAATGGAAACGGAGTCATGAGCAGAGAGTCTTGACTGCAGGAGTGCAGTTTATCCACCGCAAGGCTTTCCTCAAAGGGTTGTTATGAAGATAAAATGATCAGGATTTGAAACAATGCTAACTATAGAAAGCTTTCTTGTTTGGCATCCCGAAAGGGTGTGTTGTAAGCAAAGCAAGGCCAGGATGGCATAATAATGTCATTCCCCCAGGCATGACTTTCGCCCCCCTTCCCCTCGAATAAATAGAGGGTTTTTTCCCCATTTGCACCCCCCCCCGGGTCTGACGGAGTGGCTTTTGGACCCCCAATTGGGGCAATTTTTGGAATATTGGCTATTCTATTATCGATGGTTGGTTTGGATATAAAAGCTCACACCTCTCCGTGCTGTTGTATTTCGCCCCTTCCCCGAGAGAGGAAAAAAATGCAAATAAATAAATAAATAAATAAATTCTCCCCCACACCCCAAAAGCAGCCCAACCCCCAAAGTGAGGGGAAAGAAGCGGAGTTGAGCCGCAATAACTGAGGCCAGTCGGTCAGTTTCCGCGCCGAGCAAGGGAAGGGGGGCCTCAGGCGGCAGGGTTTGGGGGGGTCGACCCTCTCTCTTTCTCTCTCAGCAGCCCCACAAGCGGGCCGAAGGGCGACCAGGCCCCCCTACCATGATGGCGGCGGGGCTTTCCTCTCGTTTTTCCCCTCAGTTTTTTGACCGGCTTTCTCGAAAAAGGACTCCCTCACAAGCCGTTGCCTCAGGGAAGCCCCAGCCGGGATCCAAAACTTCTCTCTCACAACCGACCGGAAGCGTCGTGAGTGTCCCTGAGGGGACGGAACGCCGGGTCCGTGAGGGAAACGTTCCTTCGCCTCGCGTTCCGTAGGAGTAATTTCGTTCCTTTTTGAGGTAACGGCGGGGACCCGTCCTCTCCTCGAAAGCGCGACGTGTTAAGCCCTTTCAATTGGGTGGTGGGAAAGGCTATAAGGAATAAAAACGGTCTAAAAAGCAGCGAAAATGAGGGATTAAAAAAACTACATTTCCCAGAATGCACTTCGAACGACTGGTCCGTGCTGGATTTCTTTCCGTGCTGGACCATGGAGACCCCGCCGAGCGGAGCTTAATAAATCTCGCGAGATGTGTTTTCATCCTCTCGCGCGGGTTTCCCTCGCAATAGCGGTTATGGATTTATTGTAACACGTCTGTAAGTTTGAAAGGAGTTGGAGGAACGGGGGTGCCCAAAACAAATATGGCGGCCGTTGACGTCACAGTGACGTCTCCGCCTCGCCCCCAAATAAACAAAATGGTCATTGGACCCGCCCATCCTTTTTGTTACCAAAGAAACAGGACGGGAGGGGGGGAAGAAAGAGAGAAAGAGATCAGAGGAAACCCACCCTCATTTATCATCTTTTGTGAACCTCACTTCCGGTATGAAATGACCTCTATGTACTTCCCCGCTTATGGAGGATAGAGTCACAAAGCGATCGGATGTTGTGGTCGAGTACTATGAATACCGTAACTCTTAATCTATCCGAGAAAAAACCCCGTCCTCTTCGCCTCGGAACGGCTTATTCCGATTGGTTGAAGCAAGAGGGCGGCGGGAGTACGACCAATCAAAATGTCAGAACGGGGAGGGGAAAGAGGCAGAGCGAAGAAGCCTATTGGCGGCGATTCGGAGCGGGGCGACCAATGGCGATCGGCAAAAGAATTGGGCGCCTTCCTTTGAGCGCGGCTGAGGCGCGTCTTCGCCTTCCCTTCGCCGCCATTGCCGAGTCTCCCCTCAGCGCTGCCGGTCATGTTCCTGACAGACTTCCGTAAGGAGTTTTACGAGGTGGTCGTGAACCAGGTCAGTCGGTGTCCTTCGGGAGGCCCGGAGAGCCAAGCGCGGCCGAGTGAGGAAGGCTTTTCCCTCAGCCTTCGAGCCCCTGAGGGGGTGGGGGATGGGGTTAGGTTTTCCTTTGTTCCCAGGCTTGGCCTACCCGACAAAAGGGGTTTGTTTTTGCGAAAGGGAATGCCGGGGCAGAACGAAGAAGGGGCTGCGAGTCAATGGCGAGGAATCCGGCCCTTCAAGTGCTTTGGTTTCCTTCCCCCCCAAAAAAAATCCATTCCCATCACTCACCTTGAGGTGGGGGGGGGAGATATAGGCCCATCCTCAGCCCCACAGGTTCGCCAGCCCCTGCCCTAAATTAATGAAAACACGAGAAATGGCGAAACTTCTCCCAATTTATTTATTTATTTTTTGCCCTGCAACTTCCATGGTCCCTTGACGTTGGCAATACAGACTTAATGAAAACACGAGAAATGGCGAAACTTTGGTCCTCCCAATTTATTTATTTTTTGTCCTGCAACTTCCATGGTCCTTTGACATTGGCAATGCATACTGGGGATTCTGGGATCTGTAGTCCAAAAAAAAATCTGGCATGTCAAAGTATGCCACCCTCTCTTAGAACGGTGTGTAGTAAAGAGAAATAAAATATCGCCACCGTAGAGTGGTCGAATAGGCCAAATGGGTGGGGTATAAATCAAATAGATAAATAAGTAAAGATAGTTGGGCCCCCATATCCACGGATTCAAGCCCTACCTGCAGATGCTGAAAACGCGGATTATAGCGAACACTATATTAATAGTCAACGTTATACATAGACTGGTCTCTGGCTCCCTCTAGTGGCCTGTTCTGGTAACTTCACCTTCATTTTTCTAGTAGTTTGCTTTTAATATTTTCAGACCATGGATGAATCAATCAGCTGATATTGATCCCACGGATAAGAGGGTCCTAATGTAATGCAATCCCGAATTCCTAGTCCCAAACTGTCAATACCTCTCCCATTAGGCCAGCAGGCTTGGGTAGGTAAGTGAGTCTGAAACTGGGTGCTGACACCCAAGAGGGAGGCATCAGCATATTTCGGGGAACCCCAAGGTTCAGAGGAGAAGAAAATCTTGTGGGAAACACTTGGGGTATGAAAGAAATGTACTATTTAGAGACACATTTGGACATTTGCACCCCTTTTGCAAATATATTTATGTTTGATGTTAGTAAGATCAAATGATTTTTAAGTTGCTCATTACTGGGCCCTTTTGCAAATATATTTATGTTTGATGTAAGATCAAATGATTTTGAAGTTGCCCATTACTGGTTGAAAATTGTATCTGAAATATTTGCTGATTGTCCTGTGGTGCTTCTGACATGAATAAAGAAAGAAATTTTGGGCACAGAAAAAGTCTCAGACTTTTTTTACAGAATCAGTACTATGGTGCTTCTGACATGAATAAAGAAAGAAAGAAATTTTGGGCACAAAAAAGTCTCAGACTTTTTTTTACAGAATCGGTACTGTAAGGACGAAAAGGAAAAACAAATGTTCGTATAGTATGTGGAATGCTTTGCTTGGAAGGAATTGTTAGTCCCCACTTTCAGCTTGGTGGAAAAAACATTGTCTTGCTATAGACAATGTAGAAAAACCTCTGCAAGGTTCTTTGTTTCCCTACAAGAGGGGGAAAAACTCATCATTTTTTCTGTCAAGGATAGTTCATGAAAAGCTGTGGGTTCTGTGCAAAATAAGTATTTAATGCGAAAAAAATTACAAAAAAATTAGAAAGTTTTCTGTATGCAAAATGTTTCTGCACAAAAATACCAAGTTGTTGCAAAAAGCTATAGAAATTTTGAAAAAACTCTTGGCCTGATCCAGAAGGTAGAAACATTTGGAAGTTTCTTATTTTCATTTGTGACAATAAAATTAACAAAAATGCATACCCGTAGTGTGAAACACGTGGTGACTGACAGTTTTAGTGGGCCTAAGCTTTCATGGTCTTCATTTGTAGCCCATGAATCAAGTAAAGCTTACTGTTTATGATGCCACAAGAGTCTTTGCTGTTTTTGATGCAACTCCCTGAACCCCCATTGACCCAGCTCTTGTTAGGAAATGAGGATTAGACATTTTGTTGCAGATTCCATCTTTAAAGGCATGTACATTCATTTCCCGTTCACTTTTGCTTGCGTTTCTCCCTCCACCTGCTGTTTTGTTTTGTTTTCTAACTTGTTTACAAACTGATCTGCTGGATGTCTGGATCTGTAAAATACTGCCTGTAGCAATTTCTGTAAGGGTAGCTGTGTCATGTCTATCGCAACAGAAACAACAAAAACAGATGAGACTAATTGAACATAATGGTTAGCATTTTTATAGCAACCTCCCTGTGAAGTGACATTTCCTTGGCTGGTGCTATATAAGTAATAATTCTAATCTTGTTTACTGAGAAATTATTGCAATTGAATTCATTGGGGCTTGTTTCCAGGTAAACATGCTCAGGATTCTTATATATGTTTACTTTGAGAGACCTTTTACTGTGTTCATTTGGACTTATCTCTGAGTAAACATTACAAGATTGTATTCCAAGCCTCTTTAAGAACATACAATATTCTTTATTTCTGTTATAAAGGCCTAATGCTGGAATTTTATTTACTGTAACAACCATGGAATTTGTTTTAAAAGGGTTAAGGCTTTGAAAGTAAACTGGAAAATGATAAATTAAACAACCAAGTTTTCCAAATACTGTAAAGGATTTAAGTAGGAGTGTGAAGGAACACATCTAAAAAGAAAAAGTGTAGAAAACTGCATGCCAGGGGGAAAAACCTAGGCTGAATCCTTCTCCTTGATTTGTTATATTTCTACATACTGTATAAGGAATTTTTGGGTGAGTGCTCATTTTGGAGTATTTGGGCCTTTAAAACGTGAGCGTTCAAACCTGCCTGTTTCCACTTAGATGGCCAGAAGCCATCTGTGCACTTCTGTCTTCTGGATGTTTGATCCTGCTCTGAGGTTGAAATGCTGACGGATTGTTGTAATAAGCAGAAATAGGATCTTTTTGTTTCCCACCCTGTTCTTGCCAAAGGAACAGCTGGGCATTACTGGTCAAGCTGGAGCCAAGATCTGACGCGGTATAAGCTTTGCAGAATTATGAAGAGGCTCACCTAATAAAACATGAGGGGTGTCTTGTCAGCAGCAGAAACTTAGGGGTGGATTCAAGGCACAGGAAGAACGTACAGTAGATGCTTCTACCACAAGCCATCATTAGTCCAAAGGTGAGGTGGAGACAGCCTCTAAATTAACAGAGGAGAAGACAATGATTGTTCTGGGTTTTTGGGGCTCTTTGGCTGTGTTCTGAAGGTTGTTCTTCCTGACGTTTCGCCAGTCTGACCAGAGTACAGGCTGCTGTCCTCTGAAGATGCCGGCCACAGAGACTGGTGCAACGTCAGGAAGAACAACCTTCAGAACACGGCCAAAGAGCCCGAAAAACCCAGAACAACCATTAGATCCCGCCCGTGAAAGCCTTCGCATATATAGAGAAGACACATTGTTGGAGGATAAGTCAACCATAGTTTTTAGCTGCGATGGCTTAATTGACCCTCCTTTGTCAAAGGCAGATGTCACTGAATACGAAGCACTGGATGCAATCTACTATTTAAGCACCCTTGTGGTCTTCCTGAGGTATCAGGACCACCACTGTTGGAAACAAAGTGCTGGTCCAAATGGACCTTCTTTCTGGTCCAGAGGGCTCTTTACACATTGAGAAAGTGCCCTTCCCAAGGTTGCCAGGCTACATGAGCTGTGGAGTCGAAACTGTTTGGATGGCCACAGGTTTCTCGTCATACTCTAATCCCCTCTTTTTCTTTTTTCTTTCTTTTTGTAGCCACCATTGTTTGCATTAAGTGCTTGTAGGTCAGTGTTATTATCTTATAGTTGATAATCATCATCATAATGATGTGCCTTCAAGTCAATTCTGACATAGGGCAACCTTTTTTCAGGGTTTCTGGGTAGAGAATACTCAGAAGTGGTTTCCCATTTCCTTCTTCCGGGAGTGCCCTGGAATTATGCAGCTTGCCCAAGGCTACACAGGCTAGCTCTTCTTCCACGACGTACAATGGGAAGTGGAGCTCCCAACCTCTGGCTCTGCCGCCAGATACCTGAATCACTGAGCTATCCAGCCAGCTGTTGTTATAATCAATACCTGTTATGTTTTTACTTCCAGAGAGTGCTGCTGCTTGTTGCGTCAGATGTAGATGCCTTATGCGCATGTAAAATACTTCAGGTAAGTCTGCTGTGTGGAAAGAGGAAGAGACAAGCCAATGTATGAATAAAATGTTACCTAGAGATGTGTGGGTACATAGAGGGTATCTGTGGATATGTTGTTATGTCCTGTCCAGTCAGAACCAAGAGACTCAACCTCTGGCTCTGCCGCCAGATACCTGAAGTGAGATATTTAAGGAATAGTTTGACTAGTTAAGGGACGTGGTGGCGCTGTGGGCTAAACCGCAGAAGCCTGTGCTGCAGGGTCAGAAGACCAAGCAGTCGTAAGATCGAATCCACGTGACGGAGGGAGCGCCCGTCGCTTGTCCCAGCTCCTGCCAACCTAGCGGTTCGCAAGCATGCAAATGCGAGTAGATTAATAGGGACCACCACGGTGAGAAGGTCACGGCGTTCCGTGTCTAAGTCGCACTGGCCATGTGACCATGGAAGATTGTCTTCGGACAAAACGCTGGCTTTATGGCTTGGAAACGGGGGTGAGCACCACCCCCTAGTGTTGAACACGACTGGACAAAAAATGTCAAGGGGAACCTTTACCTTTACCTTGACTAGTTCCACTCCCTTGTTGAGTTTCCATGGTTGAGCAGGGGTTCACAACCAGGCCTCTTGAGTCCTAGGCCACTGGGCATCCTCTGTGGATGTGACGTCTTTATAAAAAGTGAAGCAAAACTACCTTTCAAGTTGCTGCTGAAATACAGTTAAATGACAGGCAAAACAATGTCTATATTAGGTAGAGACTCATTTCCATTCTTATATTCTTTAGGACTGTTTCCCAGTTTTAGTGTGGAAACCACGCAGAGATCTAAAAAATGAATAGATGGTTAATCAACACATTTTATTTATAGAACTCTAGATTTTTAGATGTCATGGATCCTTGTGCTTGTCCTGCAGTAAATCCATATTTACTTTGATGTGACAGGATGTGATAAATGTTTGGAGTTGCTCAGAAACTACTGCTGAGCAAAATGCATAAACTGTAGGGGTGGTAATTGGATGTTTCCTTCTTGAAAATTACCCTTTTGTTTTTCAGGCTTTATTTCACTGCGATCATGTGCAATATACACTAGTCCCAGTCTCTGGATGGCAAGAGCTGGAAACGGCATTTCTTGAACATAAAGATCAGGTAAAAGCATACTTAGAAAAGCAACATTATTTTTTTCTTTCAGAAATACAGCAGGACCTCTATATCTGCAGGGGATGAGTTCCCAAGCCCTCACCGTGGATGCTGAAAAACACTGATAATAGCAAATACTACACATAGCATGGAGTCTGGTTCCCTCTAGTGCAGGGGTGGGCAATTAATTTCTATAGCGGGGCCACATGAAAAATCTGAACTGTGTTCGGGGGCCGAACCAACTTTACTTAAAAATAAAAAACTGATTTTATGATTGTTTTCATTTTAAACTTGTTAATCTTCACAAATATTAAAGAGGTTTTTTTATGGTATGTTAAAGATAAGCAACTGATCAACTTTAGACAAAAAGCTATAAATTGTTTTGATATTCAAAACTGTCCGCGGGCCGGACAGGAGCGGCTTGCAGGCCATATGTGGCCCTCAGGCCGCACTTTGCCCAGGTCTAGTGGCTAGTTTTGGTACCTTCATATTTAGAAATATATCTTTCTAGGATTTTTATTTTACTATTTTCAGACCAGGGACAAGAGAATCAGTGAATATTGATCCAAAGATAAGGGGATTCTAATACAGTACAGAACCAATGAAATCCAGTTAAGTTCAATGAAATGATTCCACAGGAAGGAAGCTGCTTTTTTTTGAAGCCAGATCTTGGGTTAAGATAGCACAGTACTCTGTTAGGTAGAAGCTCGGAGATGTTAGTAGCTGAATGTGGAACATTTTGCATGCAACACATGTCCCTTTTTGCTGAACTCTAGCCCTTCTCAACGTTGCCTACCAGTGCATGATATTGATCACTTCTGCTGCAGCAGCATAAATTGTCAGATAAAACAAGATTGCATTAGATTTAATCTGCACATTAAATGTTCCTTTCAGCTGCAGACAGTACTTTAATTCTTCGGCTGGGGTCCCAAGAACTTAGCCATGTTTCCTCTCGGGAAATATAAAGAATCAGGGCTTGATATTACCTCTGGGAAGGTGGTGTGGAATTATTAATTATTTGAGAGATGGATTAGTATTTTATACAAAACAGATAAATTTACACCTTAATCTCCTTTATGTTTAGTTCCAGTATTTTGTTCTAATAAACTGCGGTGTGAACATTGATCTCCTGGATGTTCTGCAACCCGAGGAAGATACTGTTTTCTTTGTCTGTGACACACACAGGCCTATCAATGTCGTGAATGTTTACAATGAGACACAGGTAAAAAAATCTGCTTCTTTTGATAATATGAGAAAGGATCCACTTATCCAATAGTTTTCTGAGTCTCACGACAGAGGTGCTGTCCTAACCTATAAAATGTTCAAATGACCTTGGAGTCAACCCTGTGTAAGTTAAATTCCCTTTACCCTCTTCTAGTGTTCAGGCCAGCCGGTCCGAGAGAATGGGTGTAAATATTGTAGGTCAGGAGCTGCTCAGCTTTGAGGTGAAGGGCTGAAGAAACAGCCTGTTTCATTAAATTCCATGCCTCCGTAGGTGACTAGATCAGTGCAGTATTGGAAGAGATAGCCGTGTAAATCTATGCAAGCGTATCAGGCAAAATCCAGAGACAAAACAATACCAAAAAAGAAACAAAAAACTGACAGCTTAAAAACAAACATACGCCTAATTACTGCATGCAACCCATGAACATTTAGAATGAGAATCTGGTTTTTCATTCTGTTTCTTTATGTCTGATGAAGTGGCCGTGTCTACGAAAGCTTACATTAAAACATAGTGTTTAGTATTTAAGGGGCCACATGCTTTTGTCTCTCTCTTTTTGTATTGTATTCTCTTGTTTTGTCGCTTTGGATTTTGCCTGATACAGATCACTGCGGTTCATCCAGCCTTAACTAACAATAGTGATTAAGTACAGATATAGTGAGTCAAAGCACTTGGAAGCGCCACTGTTGACCTAATCAAAGATAATTTCATCCTAACCATGCAGGAGACCCGTTCTTGCAGCTCCGCATAGGTGGCCACCCTTTAAAAAAAGCTATAACGAAGGCGAACTCATCACTTTTTTAAAGCAGTTTGTGTTGGAGTTTTGAATTTCTAGTAAAATTCCTTTTGCTAAGCGGTAGAAGTAGAGAGACTCACAGAGGAGAATAACTCCAAATTCCCCAGATTTAGTCTATCCCTTTCTCATTACCTGGCTTTTCTCAATAACTCACTTTGAAATATTTGTAGGAGAACAACTAAAAATATTCCGTTACAGTTATGAACAGATCAACAGCAAACAAACAAATTGACTATTCAAACAGTCTATAGAGAGAGAAAAAGAACTCGGCAAAGAGGCCGGGCTCTCTTTGAATTCAGAGACAGGGAAGAACAGTTAGTGCTGGATAGATTGATAGTCACAGCAGCCAAGAAAGTTTTCTCCCATCCACACCTACTAGAGGCAGCATGCGAGGTTGTAAAAACTCGAACAGTTTGTTCCTCAATTTAACAGCTGTTAATATCAAATTCACGGTGGTGTACTTGGTTCTCCTGCTCCCTGCTTTATCATCAAACAACCAACCTGCCTGTGGGGTAGGTGAGGGATAAGAGATGGTAATTGGTCCAAGGTCATCTAGTGAGCTTCCCAATTCAGTGGGGATAAAACCTGCATCTCCCAAGTCCCAATCAAACACACCACCAAGTGCTGACTGTACCACGTTCGCCTTACCTTTTGCTTTTGTATCATTTAATTTCCAACATGCTTTACTTAATTAGACTTGACTTTGCTAGGTAAAACTCCTGGTTAAACAAGACGATGACCTCGAAGTTCCTGCTTATGACGATATCTTCAGAGATGATGATGACGACGAAGAGGAAGGAGAAGATTCTGGGAATGAAAGTACTGGATCAGAGCCTTCAGGAAAGCGAAGGAGATTTGAAGAGGTTAGACCTTGGATACGTTGGAATAAAATGTACCTAAATACTAAAGGACTGTTATTTTTTCTTTCAGGGCAAAGTTTGCAAATAAGCCTATAATTTAGTAGCAACATTGGTATTGGAAAGTGAGAGAAAATACATTAGTTAACAAGCTGGTCATTTGTTCTTTTCACAAACAAATGAAAGCAGAGTGTGCTGCTTATATACCTCCCATTGATGCTTAAAGCACTCTGGGCATTTTGGAATTTTTAATGATGCAGGCTACACATTGCTTTGCCCCGGTGGGCTGAGTATAGTGGTGCCTCGCATAGCGACATTAATCTGTGCAGCAAAAATCGCTGCTAAGCGATTTCGTCGCTATGCGATTTAAAAAAGCCCATAGAAACGCATTAAAACCTGTTTAATGCATTCCTATGGGCAAAAAACTGACCTTAAAGCGAAGATCCTCCATACGGCGGCCATTTTCGCTGCCTCTTATGCGAGGAATCCATGCAAAAACACAGCGGGCGGCCATTTTTTTAACCCGGTGGCCATTTTGGAACCGCCGATCAGCTGTTAAAAAATCTTCGTTTTGCGATGATCAGTAAGTGAAACAGGGAAACGATCATCACAAAGCAAAAAAAAAAACATTTAAAACATCGCAAGGCGATCGCTTTTATGATCGCAAAATCTTCATCGCTATGCGGTTTCGTCGCTAAACGGAGTGCCCGTTAAGCGAGGCACCACTGTACTCCATTTATGAACTTTAGAAGGATGGAAGACTGAATCAACTTTGAGCTGGATATCTAAGCCCATCGGGATCAAACTCAGGTTATGAGCAGAGTCCTGGCTGCAGTAATGCAATTAAAAACCACTTTAAACGGAGTGCCCTTTCAGGGAGTTATAATTCAGGGAGTTATAAATCACTCCTTTATCTGAGACTGGCTGGTTATGCTATTGTAATTCTCATAATATAGCATAGTATACAGTTATTTGATACTTAAGAGTTCTGCTGAAAGTTAAAAATATTAAGATATTTATTTTATGCTTCAACATTGTTGGCTTCTTCCAACCCTGTTCTCTAGGAAATAGTGGAAAAGACAATGAAAAGGCGGCAGAGGAGAGAATGGGAGGCACGCAGGTTTGTTTTCCGACTTACCTCTTTATACAGTAGGACCTCCTTATCTATGAGCTCAGTATCCACTGATTCACTTATCCACGATCTGGATATATTAAAAGTAAAATCCCATAAATATATATTTCCAGAATGTCATTACCTGAACTGGCCACTAGAGAGACCCAAAGGCCATGCTATGCGTAGCCTTCGCTATTATCATAACGTTCACTACCACCCGTGTTTTCCAGCATCTGTAGGGGAGCTTGGAACTGATCTCCCGTGGATACAGGGGTCCTGCTGTAATTATAAAATAGTGGTTATAGGCTCTGAAACATTTGAATGTTTAGTGGATCATCTTGAATGACGGCCACAACAGCTTGTAATTCCAGGTGCTATTTATCTCGTAGATTTTTAAGTTTGTGTCTTATTTCCCAAGTTGTGGTCTAGCTTCTGGCTTTTGAAAGCAAATGTTAGCGGTCTTTAGTAATCTATTTCCTTTAATATGTTTGCAATATGTTGGAGGCTTAAATTTATCCCTACAGTGGAGTCTGAATGGCATTGTTATAAAGGGCAGACTGCAATCATTTCCTTGGATCATGTTTCATTTATTGCAGTGGAACATGGTTCTAAATGCAGAACTTGGAAAAGTTACTTTTTCAGATTACATCTCAGAATTTATGGCTAGCAGAATTCAGGAACTTTTTGGCATAGCTATCATTTTCTAACCTCTACCTAATTGTGCGGCAGATAGTAGCTTCCCTGTACCTTGTTTGGAGTCAGCACAAATATTTTTCATCTATGTAGGTATGGAGCCACTACTTTCTGCTAAAATTCACAGGGCAGGTTTTGGTTATAAGTCCTTTGTGCACGTACATAAGGATGCTCAAAAGTAAGCTGGCTTTGTCCCGCTGTTCATACTGGAAATATTTTAAAAATCATAAATTCTTTGTACTTAACTAAAAAGTGTTTCTCTCCCTCCCTTTCTGTAGGCAAGAAATTCTTTTTGACTATGAGCAATATGAATATCATGGGACATCGGTAAGTATTATTGTAGAACCCCTGTATCCACAGGGAATTGGTTTCAAGCCCCCTTGCGGATGCTGAAAAATGTGGATTATAGCAAACACTCTAAATAGCTTGATCTCTGGTTCCCTTTAAGTTCTGGATTCTATTTCCAGAGCCCCCCCCCCCCCAATACTTTCAGATCACGGATAAATGAATCAGTGGATACTGATCACACAGATATGGGGAGGGTCCTCGTGTTAGTGCCAAAGATCATGAAAGAGAACTTTCTTCCAATCAAGGCTTTATTATTAAATAGTAACGAAAAGACTGAAATATTGGCGCAGTTGACTAACTGGGGGTTTCAGAGATTTGTAGTAAAAAAAAAAATCCACATTGAGTGAGGATGTCATGTGCTTTCCCTTTCCTGCCTTTTTCATGGGCGCAGTAGCTCTGGCGCTATTTGAATGAGGAAAGGATTAATCTTTTCTTCATTCACGCTGATCTATTTATGGTTTGGCTTTTTCACTTGCAGTCAGCCATGATGATGTTCGATTTGGCCTGGGTAATGTCCAAAGACTTGAATGATATGCTGTGGTATGTAGTCTTGTTTGTGATAGTAACTTTGTTCCCAGAGCTGTTTCGACCTGTACGAAATATCCATTTCTTTGCTAAAGAAAAAAAAGGAGAAAAACACACAAGAATGTCCTTGCTTTTTCTCCTTGGAGTAGTGGCATATCACAATGTTTTGAAGATTTTTGGGACATGATTGCATCGGTCTTAGATATGCCTGCAGCCACTTTCTTTTTCACCTCTAGTGTAGCTACAAGGAAGAGTTTGTTTCCATTTTCTTTTCTACAATTTGTATTGTCAAAACCCAACCAAGCAATATTTCACTTTGTTTCTGTTGGAAACAAACATGAAACTTATCATCACAGAAAATGCAGTAGGAAGGGGCCCTCTAAGGTCACCCAGTCCAAACCCTGCTCAAGGCAGGAATCCAAATCAAAGCAGATCTGACAAAACAGTTATCCAGTTTTCGCTTGAATGCCTCCAGCGTTGGAGCGCTCAACAATTCCTGAGGTCCTGGGTTCCATTGTCATACTGTTCTAACAGTTAAGAAGTTTTTCCTGATAGTCAAATCAAATCAGGCTTCCTGTAGCTTGAGTCCATTATTGCATGTCCTGCGCTGTGGAATGATCGAGAACAGATCCTGCTCCTCCTCTGTATGTCTGTCTCCTCTTAGTCTTTTTTTCCCCAGCATAAAATGAGATTTCTTACAAATTCTTCATTCCTTACCTCTCTCTCTCTCTCTCTTTCTCTCTCTCTCTCTCTCTCTCTCTCTCTCTCTTTTAAGGTGGGCCATTGTTGGGCTAACAGATCAGTGGGTTCAAGACAAGATCACTCAGTAAGTGAGCCATTCACGCCTATTTTAATCTGAAGTTTCTTTTTCAATTTTTATACCTGCCTTGGGGGATGAGGCAGAAAGCGGGGCAGGATGGGACAGGAAATATAAATATTTTTCAAGTGAGTCATAAATTGAATCTGTTAATTTCCGGAGTAAGACTGGAAGCACGAACATGGTATTTTAAAGAAATAGATGCTCATTTCGTGCCCTGAGCTATTTTTACAGCTAAAGAGAATTGGGATGTATTGTTGTTGTTAAAAAAAATGGCTGCTGCTATATCAGCAATGGCATTGTAAGGGAAAGAAATAATAAATATTGCATCTTTTTCTCCTTGATCAAAAGAATGAAATACGTAACAGACATTGGAACCCTGCAGCGTCATGTGTCCCGGCATAACCATCGCAACGGAGATGAAGAGAACGCTCTTTCTATTGATTGCATGAGGATAGCATTTGAATATGAGTATCCTTTTGAATAATGGAGGACAATTTGTTACAAATATGTGGAAGAATGGTTTGTAGTCATTCCTGCTTCACTGTCTTCATACAGTGACCCAGTTCACACATAATGAGTCAATTCCGGATGTCCTCATGCTTTCTTTGGATTTATCTAGATGTTCTAGCACTGTAGACATCCGGACATGTATAATGGCAAATAGCAGTTTTAAATAATCCTATAAAAACAAAAAACGGAGAAGTAGTAAGAGTGTTACTTCATACTCAGGAGCTCTGAAATCAGTTTGATAACCTACTTAATTCCGAATATTGTTCCATTATTGACCTGAATCCTATTGGATGTGTGGAGCGTAAACTCTAAATGGTGCAACAAGCGTGTACAGTTATTCCAGCTGTCTGTTACAGCCTCAGATGTATCTAGATCAGGTATTTTAAGCTCAATTTACCTGGGGGCCGCTAGAGGCTGAGGGTGGGCCACATCAGATTTTCCGCCAAGCAGAGCAAGAGCCCGAGGAAGCCACCCAGGAGTTTCCTTAGCCGACAGACAGGTGGGCCGGCTGGCAGGCTGCATTTCTGGATGGAGGGTGCAAGAGGTGCTGTCTTGGGAGAGAGCTGGCGAGTGAGGCAAGGCTTTTTTTTTAACTCTTGACAGCAGAGGATGTGTGGGTGCTTTGGGGGGGGCAGGCAAGGCGAGGGCCACAAACTATCATCTGGGGGGCTGCAAATGGCCCCCGGGCTGCATGTTTGAGACCCCTGATCTAGATCATACATTTGGTTGTGCACTCAAGTGCCAGAAAACGAAGCCACTTGCACAATTTCCTTTTCCTGTGTTGCGCTTTACAATAGGCTTCTGGAAGTGATCTATTTAATATGCCCAGGCTGAAATCCAGTAGTAAATCTCACCTAGAGTTAGCCTATTGAATCAATGGAACTTGACTCAACAAATCTCCACTGATTCAGTGGGCCTACTCTAGTTGTGACTGGCTTTTAGCTATTATTTCTGTGGCGATGGAATAAAGACAGTCATCCTAATCTTTAAGACTTTTGATCCAACTGATATGGCTGTTTTTCCTAATTCTGATGATGGCTTTAGCTTGTGCCTTGCCCTCTACCAACACTGGTCATTATATGAAAGTCTTTGCAATACCTGCTACACTTCGGCGAGCTTCAAGCTTTGGTCTGTCCAAGGCCAGAAAAGACTGCAGGAATTCCTTGCTGATATGGGGTGAGTCTTCCAAAGAGCTGGGGGTGGGATCGGTAATCATGTTACTTCACAAAAGTTCGGGACTGATCCTTGCCCCAAGGACCTTACAGTCTAAAATATTAAAAAAGCAAGATATGTTGCTTATAGCACTTAAAGCACTCTCTGGGTGATTTATCGCTTAATTTATGCAGGCTACATATTACTCCCCCAAGCAAGCTGGGTACTCAATTTACTGACCTTGGAAGGATGGAAGGCTGAGTGAATGTCCAGCTAAACCTCCAGCTAGCTACCTGGGATTGAACCCAGGTCTTGAACAGAGTTTTGGCTGCAGTACTGCAGTTTAACCATTGCACCACCAACTATATTAGGTAGATCAGCCATCTAACTCAGTTTCCCTTGTTCCTTAAGAGTAAAACCATTAATCAGACCTGAACACAAAGAGGTTAGCAATAGCTTGGCTTTATGCGCTAGGCAGCCACATTTTCTCTCACACACACACAGAAATAAAAATGTTCTACTAACGTGCCATTGACATACAACTCCTTGAATGTTTGCGGTTTTCTAGATTACCTCTGAAGCAAGTAAAACAGAAGTACAATTCCATGGACATTTCCTTGAAAGAGAACCTGCGGGAGATGATTGAAGAATCTGCAAATAAATTTGGGTAAATGATATCCCTGACATATTTTTTAAATCTGAGTCAACTTGTTCATCTAAGGTTGGGAGTTCAGTTCCCCCCTGGGTCTCCTTGATGGGGTCTGGACATGATGAGCCATAGGGTCCCTTCTAGCTTGGCAGTTCTAAGATGATCGTGATGATGACAATGACCTGTAGGTCGTGGAGGGGAAGCGGAAGCCCCCTCAGAAATGATACAGTATATTTTACCGAATTCTTCAGCTATTTCCTAATTCCAGCTATGTAGCAATAGGATATATGTCATTTGCGCCCACAGACTTAGGTGTTCAGTACTTCACACAGATTTGCTTATTCCATTTTTATACCACTTGAAGGAATTAATAGGCAGTCTGTAAAATGGGGATAATTATCCT